CTAACTTTACAAGCCAGAAAAAACTTTTAATGTTTCCTTCTCAACGGGCCAACTTTCACTTCCCGTTGTTTGTTAACTGAAGAAACACTACTTAATCTGCACGTATCTCGCGGACGATAACTAGAACGTCTGTTCGACGCCGAAACACCTCCTACCTAGAGTCGTTGCAGCGGCAAACAATATCTAAACTAATGTTTAACGAATAGTGTTGACTCTGCTACGTGGTAACGAGCTGCTTACTCGGCTCGTGGGTGCAAGAAAAGAGAGCTTCCGCTTGTGGGTTCGCGTATTTATGGCGCGGCCCTGGGAAATACTCGTGTGGGGGGGTGCTTTCCCCTCTCCAAAACCTTCACAAAGAAAACATAACTCGCTAGTTCGCATTCGTTTAGTTGCGGCAACGGATTTACCAGGCGCTGCCGTTTTAAGTACCTTACCCGTTCTGTTTATCCTCGCTGCCTCCGTAGTGTTCAACACATGAGGACGGTGGTTTATGGGGGTTGCACCAATCCCATAACGCCACAATATATATTATATATTATATATATATAATATTTATTATAATATATATATATATATATATATACACATACACATACAGTTCATGCACTAGCTGAAGAACCCCGCATTGTTGGAGTATTTAACATAACAATGTTTTATTAAACAGAAGGGGGAATTCCATCTATCCCCCCCCCACCTATTTCTACTTCCCTCCCGCATCTCTCTGCTTTGCTCCAATCTCGAAATACACGATCTTCAGTACTCATTAAAAAATGTTCACACTAAAAGAATAATTAAATTTTGTTTCAGCATAACACTTAAATCATTCATATTTTCTCTCTCACTGTCGCTCGCCCAACTTGCAAATACTTGCATAATGGATAGTTTTTGCAAGTCGTGGATTTGAAAGGCGTAACACTACAATTCAGGAAAGAATTTGTATCAATGAATACAATATATTGTGACATAAAATGTTCAGCACGTGCAATGCAATTATTGGATTTAAAAAAGTTTAATTACATTTTTTACATAATCCACATTTCCTTGTGAAACATCAATTGAATATCATCCCATCTTTTATGCTACATAGCTTACGTATGTGAACTAATATTATGAAACCGAGCCGAATAAAATGATTAGTATTTTTCGCGCAATTGTATGTGAAATATAAACAGAATTTTGTTTTTTTAAACATTTTTTCCTCAAAAAAGTTTCTAATTGTTTCTCTCAATTTTCTCCTCGAATGGATCAAAATAGGAAAGAACGTTTTGTCTAATTTTTTGCGAACACACGGTATTTTTCAAAGTTCTACAATCTTAACATTTCAAAACTACCAAATTGAAGTTAGAGATCTGTGTCTGAAACATATGTTCTAAAAATATCTCTTTAAAAACGGTTAATTAAAATTGTTTGAAAAAAACTAGTAGTTTTTGCGTAATTCGTGTAATTTTTAATTATGCACTTTACAAGAAAACATTTTCTGAAAAAACACCCCAAATGTTTGCTTAACTTTTTTCCACAAATAGAACAATAAAACCTTAAAAAATTCTAATCTATTTAATCAAAAACAATTCAAAAAAAGAATTCAACCATTTCCCAGAAAATTCTGAAAATATCAAGGGTTTCACGTAAACTACTCCTCAAATTCAAAATATTTTGGTGATGTCGGAAACAGCACACCTATATCTTAATCCTTACATATTTACCAAGTTTCCGCTTAAAAGCTTTTAATCTGATACAGCTACGCGTTACGCATACATCCAGAGAGGCGGGCGGGGCTGATCCCGATTTTCGGGTACAAAACTGCACATGTAACTCTTCTCCATCTGCATCTACCTTCACCACCATTTTAACAGCGCTTAGAGACTTCTTACGCATGTCCAGGGTATGAGCTCAAAAGAAACTTAAACACTGATATTACGGACAAAAATTTGAGATATTGTTGGCTGATTCCAATACTTTCGCCACCTATCCTATAGTAACAATGGTGAGTCCCTACCACAGCCGCCAGCACAAGTGTGTATACATTCGTGAGATGAATGCTAATCATTTCTACGGGTTCCTCACTGGACTAATTGTGTCCTTTCGATCACCGAGGTGTTTGTGTGTGTGTGTGTTGCAGAAAGAGATGGAGTTCGGGCCCGCGTTCAACAAAATGTTCTTGCTGGAGGTGAAGAAGCTGCAGAACAGTCTGGAAGACCTGGCAGGCCTGGAGGAAGTGTGCGTGGCGCCCATAAGGGAGCAGGGCAGCGTTCCCATGCCGGACGAATGCGCCGTGCTCAGCGTCTGGGGCTACTTCCAGGTGAGCTGCCCCTTGTCCTAGTTCCAGGCGCGGGAAATCCCCTCAAAAATCCTAGTTACTATGACACAAGTCATGTTTAGGTAACGAACAAATCCCTGTATTTCTAATATGTTTAAGAAAGAAGAGTTTGTTCTATTTTCAATAAACCATCCAAAACAAAGCACATAGTTCTATTGCTGAAAGAATAATTACTTCCTGGTTCTGCTTCAAACAGATTTGAGGCGAAAAAAAGTTGGCCGATTATGATAGGAGGGGGAAAAGAGGACGCAAACGTTACGCTTCAACACACTTTACCGTCGTACAGAAACCATTCGCTTTACGCTCTCAAAACTGAGTTTTCGTCAACCTAAAGGAGTTTTCGCCCCTACATACACATCCTAATTCTGCCACACTGAATTGAAATATGAAATCGTTTTGCATTACGTGTTAATTTTTCACAATATGAGACATTATTAATAGCACAGACTTTATCGTACTAGTTAGTTTTTTAATTTTTTTGGTCTGGGCTACCTTTTCGGTTTTGCCTAGCCCTCTTCGTAACTGCCATCATTCGCGCCTAAAGTACATTTTTTCACACATTCTCAATTCTTCGATCTCATAATGGCAGAACTGAAACATGGCTTTAAAATATTTTGGAAGAGTAAAACCTCGTCCTATACGACAGTTTTCGTTGAAAACTGTAAAGACGTTTTAGAGAAAATATCGTTTTCGCGTTTTTGAAAATGTACAATTTGAAGCTCATTTTCACCCAAAACTTTTGAATTTTAGAGAAACTTTATTAGAAAGGTTTTGAAGCAATTGAACTTGAGAATGCAATAAAATATAGACATTGCTGGTAATGTAAATATTATTGGGATTGAGGGATATTTAAAAAATCTTACATTTGGATAATGTCTGTAAAAACGAAAGAATACATCAAAGTGGCATTGATGTTATGTTGTCCTTTAGTCCTTTTAGCACTAACGGTTAAAATGATTTAAAGCAAAATTTTGGTGCCATTTTTGAGAAAATGGCATTTCAACATTTCTGAAAATGCGATCCGAGAATATGTACTAAAAAAGCGAATAATGTATATGTTGAATTTCCAAACTTTTCACAGTAGCATCCAGTTCGTTGAAAATAGTCCAAGCATACGTTTTTAACATTCTTGGAACACTTATTAGGCCTCCAGTTCAACCACGTGGACGGAATATGAGATGTATGGTATAGCATTAGAAATGTGTTCATGGTGGCTACATTATTCGTGTCATCATAAATGGTAACCACAGCTTTTCCATTGAATTCAGCTTTGATTTTGTTTCACTATGATACGTTCCCGATTGAATGATTGGATAATTTCATTCTGGGATCGTTTACCAAGGTTATTGTTTTATGGATACTTCATCAAATTTAGATAATGTAATAATTCTCTAGAACAATCAATGCTCATGAACCTGTTTTCGTTACGTCCATATTCTTTATTAAGTTTTCTTATAATTCCACGACTTACAGCATTTTTATTTTTTCCACATTAACCAGATTTCTCTATCTAGCGATTTCACAAGAAGCTGTCAATAGGGTTGCTAAGACAATATTCATCCCAAACACGAAGAACATAAGCTTGCAGTATGACATTTGGAATTTTCGTGTTTCATATATTTGTACTCCGTCCAAATAACACGCGTATTTCAAGTAGACACCAATTTAGATTGAAAATCAATTGTAATAGTCTTCAAATATGAATTTCAGTGTAAAATTAGAATTCATTTTTTGTAATATCATAATTTCTTAAATCAACCTACAGAAAAATCAGGATGCTTTTTTTTTATATAACGGCTACCATACTTGCTATATTCGTATGCACATCAGTGGCATACTCATTGCTTTTTGAAATTATCTGTTTTGACTGCAGGTGTATGCCCGAAAAGTGTGTCTGCATCATATCTTTATCTCTAGACCCGCCTTTATCCCGTAGAGGCAGAACGCGCGTGCGTGGGTGAAGACAAAGCTTCGTTAGCTCTCTTCAAATATTAATGACGCTGCACGACCTTTAGGCGTTTTCCTTCTGAGTGGCGAGAAAGCAACGAAGTTCACCACTGTTGTAATAGATCAAACCAAATATCAGAGAATAGTCATCATGAAACCGAACGGCCTCTTCCGACGTCATTAGAAACATCGGTTGTCGGCCGAAGATGTTTGTTTTGTTCCATTCGCCGTAAATGGGCAGAAGAGCCTAACCCATTTACAATGCCAAGACCATCTTCAATACACGTAACAGATCTCGAGCGAGTTTCTGGCAAGTGTTTCAAATAATGAACCGTGTAATAATGGGAATATGCGGACAATTTTGAATGCTACATATGGGGGAGGGGGTCAGATGAAATAAGTGGAACGATTTCTCTCACAGTCGTCCGGTAGCGAGCGATAGATATTTCTTCTGCCCTGTGACCGTCATGTAGAATACGGTCACAGTACAGCCAAAATATTGGTCGTTCGTGACCAGATGACTACAAGCGATAGCGTATGACTTACTTCATCGGGAAAACACCCGAAAATTGCATCAGAATTAGTTCGAATTTTCTCATAAATTCAAATTTCATTTTCTTAAACATTTGCGAGAAGCAAGCTCAAGACCATGTACATGTACGAACTATTGCAGATAGCCGTGTCTCCCCAACTGATTTCGGGAGAATGGAACCGACCAAACCAAACGAAACATCTTCAGCTGACAGCCAATGTTATCGCACGCGCCGTCGGAAGAGGTCGAGCGGGTTCACGATGGCCGTTGGCCACCACTTGTTTGAACGAATCCGGCAATCGAACCAAAACGTTCAACATCGGCCGACCAAAATCGGATCGACTACGACCGACGATTTAGATAATTTTGTTAAAATTATTCTTCAGTTGAATTTTATGCTTTTTAATAAGCAGCACAAAATTATTGTTGGAAGCGGGTACGTTAATGTTTTAAAATATTCAGGTATAAAAGAAGGCTTTACTTTTCTGTCATCATAATTAAAAACATCAATCTGAGTACCGGATTAATTTGTCTTATGGAGGTTGTCTAAAATGCGGAGTCTTCTAATAGTATCGAAATATTGAACTACTGACTTAGTGTGGCGCCTCTGACAATTTTTACTCTCTCGCTTCGGAAGAGACAAAGTTCAAATGCTGCGCGAAAACGGCGAATTTCTGACAGAAAATTCTTATTTCAGGGCCCTAGTAACGAAAAAGTGGATAAATACAGTTGCTAAAATTAGAAGAAAAAAATTTCTAACACGTGGTGAAGCCAGAATCTCCTGTTTTGTGGGTCCGTGATACCGACAAATTGTCTGTTTGTGAACAACGCTAGCGGCTACACTATTCAGCCGATTTTCTCAAAAATTGATATTCCGCAATCGATCTGGTTGTCGCGGCCCCTTGAATTTGAAAGCTATATTTTAATTTTGAAGGGTACTTTACATGAAGACCCTGGGACATCTTCAAAATTTTCGAAAAATGGCATTATCGACTTTGATTAAATTTTGTTGTTGGATAGTCTGGAGCATTGTTGGTAGCTGACTGAGGAGGCAGTGGGTAGTTGATATGGTTCGGATGACCTAGCAGCCTGCTCCTTTCAACGTACCTTGACAGCTTTGTTATCAACTCGGAGTACTGCCGCGTATAATGCGACACAGACGTGTTCCGTATAACTGTTAGCATCTACAGAGAACGTCACTACTACTGTGGGAGAATTCAGTAGGCATGTACTTATTGTCGAGAAAAAACTATAATTAAAGCTAAGTAAAATACACTTAATTACAATTATGATCACATGTATGTTGAAAGCAATTAAATGATTGCAATAGCTTGGCATGTGCAGTTGAAGACTGTTTCAATTGGTTACAATTAACATTGAAAGATTACAGTAGCCGTAGGCATTTACATTTGTAGACTGTATTTGTTGCAGTCAGTGCAGATATGCAACAGAGCATAATTTTCTAGTGCTGAAATGAAAAACATTGTACAATGAATACAAACAGAATCGTGATAATGCAGCGTAGACTTGAAAATTGCATAGTATATTCTTTCCAGAACTCCGAAGACCTCTTCAACGCGGTGGAGGTGGATCGTCGCGGCTACATAATCTCCTACATAGACCAGCTGCTGAGCTGCGCGCATAACCCCGTGAGCGTGGAATGCCTGGCGCAGTGGGGCGGGCCGGTGGAGCCGACGGCGGTGTTTTCGGGCTTCCTCTCAGACGACGCAGAGCCCGAGGACGGCGAGGAAAACGAGGGCCTGCAGCCCTTCCACCGCGCCACCGGCGTCGTCATCACCTTCGTGTTGCGCAACCACGCCGACCCCGAGAAGAACGCCGCGGCCCTCGACTGGGAGAAGCGCTTCCTCGAGTTCATGGACAACTGGGACGCCAACGAGCGGCCGAACTTCACTGAGGTGAGTCGTGTTGACGGGTAACCGCTTTCTGGAAACCATGGAAAACTCAGGACATTCAGGGAATTAAATTGCTTTGGCAAAGTCGGGGACTTTGTAGAAGAATCGTTAGAAGTCAGGGACATTTTTGAGACGATTGTGTTATTCCACATTATTCCTTAAAAAAGTAATTGAGCCAAAAATTGTGATCCCATTTTTATTAGTTGAGTATTTTATTTTAATTTGTACTTGATCATGGTGAAATCAGAGAGCTGACAAATTAATACCAGATTACCTTTAATGTTTTGTATAAATAGTGTGAAAATTCTACAAATCGTATCAGTAAGTTTTAAAAAATGCTTTGGAGTACCAGGTAGAGTTTAAGAAATTTGTTCCAGGAAATGATTTTCCACCCTGATTTACCTATAATCAATATAAATAGTTGCTTAGGGGCGCCATGGGGACAGGAGAGAAACGGACCGGAAAAAAATCATACAATATTTTTAAAAAAGTCATAAAATATGTTTGTATGAACCCTCAAAACAGGGATTCTGGTTACACGACGTGGTAGATATTGTTTCCACTATATTTAGCAAACTGGATTTACTCACATTTTCTTTTCCAGGACCCTGTAATAAGATTTTTCTTGCGAAAACTCGCCGTTTTTTCGCGCAGCATTTCATAGGTTTCTCTTCTTAAGAGGTACTTTCTCGAAAGGCGAGAAAGTAATAATATGCGCGACTTATTAGAGACAAACGAAAGTAAAATGTATATACTCGCCCTTTATAATGCATGAAACAAATCAACACCATTTCTTCTATCTTGCGTTTAATCAGACGAAACCGCTTTCTTTGTATCAAACGTCTCTCTTGTAACGTTTTTGTGAGAGGATACTATACTATGACTTTTATTTATCGACAAAAACTGTAAAAACTGTATGTGACTTCATGTCCGTAATTTGTTCCTACTTGCTCTCAAGTAGTATATCACTTACTTATTTGCAGTTTCACCATCCCGCAAAAGTGTTAAATTTCGCGAAGAATGTTCTCTCATTTCCTACCAACTGAAGGGCGCGGCGTTATCAGAGTATTATTTATTTCTGACAATCATGTGTTAAGCAAAAAAATTAATAAACCATTGGGTCCTACTTCAATCTGTAATGCAAAAATGAAGTAATTGTACTATTACATTCCCCCGCCCACGGCCCACCTATGTCTTGTTTTCTCTCAATGTTAGGATTCCTAATGTAAATACTTCTCTGTACTATAATGTAAATACTTGCAGCTTTATCGTATTTAAAAGCTCTTTAAAGCCAAATTTCTCCCCGCTTTACTCACGGATACGTCCTGTGTGCGTCCCACATGGATTTCTGCGGTAAACGCCGCTGCGCTCGGTCAGTGAAGGCCGTTGGCCATTGCATTGTCCGTGGTGAGAAGTCATGCCTGACATTAGGTATTCTCGGCACACTCTTGACATTGTAGATCTCGGAATGTTACGATCTCGGCTAAGGTTCCACATGTCTAGCTCTAACTACCATTCCGTGTTAATTCCCGTTTTACATCCATAATCCCGTCACAAAACCTTTTCACAAGAATCACGCGAGTACATGCGTATGCGGCGCAGGTGTCGTACACGGCCGAACGCGCGGTGGAGGACGCACTGGCGGCCGGGTCGCGCGCGGACGCCCCCACCGTGGCCGTGTCGTACATCGTGATGGTGGCGTACGTGGCGGTGGCGCTGGGGCGGCCCGCGCGCAACATGTACAACCTGCTGGTGGGCGGCGGTGCCACCCTGGGCCTGGGCGGCGTGGCGCTGGTGCTGGGCGCCGTCGCTGCCGCCGCCGGCACCTTCGGCTACGCTGGCGTCGCTGCCACGCTCGTCGTGCTCGAGGTGAGTGGTGCATTGGCGTTTGCAGGCACGGCAACTGCTATGGTCATTATTCCCGTAAGTGGAGTGCACGCTCATCGTGATCGAGATGAATGCAAAACGAAACTGCTCGATAATTTTCCGTTTTAAAAACCTTTAAAATTTTTGGGGTACTTACACGAAGCCCCACGGACATTTTCAAAATTTTCTCAAAAATAGTTCCAAATTTTTTCTTTAAATTTCTTGTAAGAATAGAGTAAAATACACTTATAAAGGTGGCATATGTTCTATTTTCACTGCTAACTCTGAATTTTTTGAAAATTTTGAAATGTTTCCGGTGTCTTCTTATAACTACAAAATTGAAGATAGAATTTTTTTCCTTCAAATAAAATTTATTCTCCATAGAGAGTTGTTTCATTATCATTCACATTTTTTGAAATTTTTATAGTTTTCGCGGAATATTGTGAGCAATATGTGCAATTTTAAAAATTACAAAAACAAGATTTTCTCAATAACGGCTCTAATTTTTTCTCGAAATTTCTCGAAAAAACGCAACCATTTCCTGTGAAAACAAGCTCAAGTAAAAAATCCCGCATTTTCAGAAACGCTCAAACGCCATTTTCTCAGAAATGGATCAATTTCGAATTTACAGTAGCGCTTAAGCGCCATTTTCATAAAAACTGCTCCAAATTTTTTAAATAAAATTGCCACTTAGACGGGGTTTTACTGTTCTTTAATATTCTTAAAGTAATATTATTAGAAAACCGAAAAATTAAGAAAATTTTGTACTCTGGGCGGCTCACAATGTACTCTGGGCGGCGATAGATGGCAGCTGGCGAGAGTATGTGGCAAGTTCCTGTAGCAAGCGGTGACCAAAGGAACTAGAAAACTAATACAGGGAAGTCTGTGCTATTCTGTAGCACCATGTTCTCTCTTGTTTTGGATCTAAAATTGTTGATGTTCTTCTTTTTGGAATGCTACACATCTCAGCATATTTATGTGTAGTAATAAAATTTTTAAGAACATTCTGTTATGTTCTTTTTCAAATAATTTGTGTACGGTGTGTCCATAGGTACTCTGACTGCCCCTCCCTTTTCTCTTCCACTTCCATTAATTATATCGAAATAGCAGCATAACATTTGCACTTACGGGCTATTTGGTTTACCACTCTGAAGGTCATTTGGTTTACTACTATTTGGTTTACCACTCTAACTGAAAGGTCGTATCGAAGTGGTCTAATCTGCGTTGAAATATTTTCGTGTGCTATTATTTATCTTTTTCTATGTGGACTCTGGAATACTTATTGCTGTTTACACAGGAATAATAATACTTACTTCTGTAGAATAACAGATGCTTATTCTTTTGTACTTGCCTCCTTCAATGCATGCATGGGCATTTAACCCCTTTGAATATTAGTTTAATTCATATTCTAAGACAAAACTTAATCGTCCTACAACAGATAAAATTGAAAAAGTCCCCCATTTGTTTACTTTCCTTTCGTAGTAGGGCGGCTCTCTCGACTTGTCGTCCAAGGTTCGTTTCATTTTAATTTTGTTATTTTTAGTCCACACCAATATGTCCATTCTTCTACACGTGCAAAAATAATTTCATTTTAATTCCTAATAATTTCTCATCTCAAAGTCCTTACTAAATCATGACGCTGTCTCCTGCGTTAAAAAACGATCGCGTTAAAATTACAAGATAAGATTTCAATTCTTTACCACAACGAAATTATCATCCTCAGATCTGATCGCCACCGAGTCTTAAGATGGAATGCTGCAATTTTTACTTTTCATTCGTCAAATCTATTAAACTCTCATAAAAACACGCGAACAGCTCTCACTACAAAATCGTTCACTACAGTGACAAAAGAAATGTAGAGAAAATAACAATCCGAAATTTCTCTCACTTTTTCGAAAACTTCGCTTGTCCCGAAGTCCCCATCTGTCTCTAGGAACGGCAATTTCCCCCACATACCTTTTATAAAAAACTGATTTTGAAGAATAGAATTAATTTAACAAAAATGTCAGCAACACCGCGCGTATATCCATCAAGATAGATTTTAAAAAATGCCATCGTCTCTAGGCAGTCTGAATGGAACGCTCAAAGCAATAAGCATTCCAAATTAATCACGTCAACATTACTTTGCCCTTCGAGCAAATGATAACAAGAAAGTATGTTCTCCTTCGCAATATTTGTAACCTTGACTATTTACATTGTATTTTAATATAGATATGTTTTCGCACCTAATGTTTTACGATTTGTAACGATTTGATACGATTTGTAATGTTTTACGATTTTTTTGTTCATTAACTTTAAGTTAAACAATGAGAAGGGATTTTTAGAATGCCCAACTGCCTCCAAGTACCTCTCAAATTACTTTTACATACTGACACCGCCTCCACAGAAGCGCGGGAAATTCGAATGTACCATTTTTTTTCAATTTTTGTAAAAAATACTAATATTTTCAAAAAATGTGGACAAAACCTTGTTTTAAGATCGGTATTTAAGAAACATATTTCTTAAAAACCGAAAACATCTCGAAAAATTCTATATCTTCAATATTGTAGTTGTAGGAAGATGCAGAAAAAATTTAGAATTTCAAAAAATCTGGAAATTATCCTGTAAAGCGTCTATTTCTCTCTCCAAAAACCAAATTTAATTTAAAAAATTGTTCAATTTTATTTTCAAAATTTTGAAAATATCCCAAGGGCTTTATGTTAAGTACATTCCAAAATTAAAATATCGATTTCAAATTCAAGGAACTGCAAAATCGCCCAGATCGATTGGGGAATATCAGTTTTGGAGGAAACTGCAGAACTGTTCAGCCCTTAGAGTTGTTAAGGGACGGAGGGAGGTTACATCACGACCTTTTTGCTTCTTTAGACTACCTCTTGCTTCTCAATAGGCAATTTCATTTGTCATTTGCACAGACGAGTGTGTATTATGATGTAAGACAAAGGTGTAAGATGTCACTCTAAAAATAAATGGCAAATCTTTAACGACCTTTGGTCATAAAATGACGCACAGAACTGGTAGAAAAATATACTTTTTTTACTTCTCTCTTAATTGTCTTCTATCAGAATCTACACACATTTGATTTTCCCTCTAGTATTTCTGCAACGAACTTTTACAATTGTAAACTGGTGAAATTATCTTCAGAAGGAATGATAAAAAAATCGTGCACATATTGAAACCAAAGAGTACTCCGGATAAAATGGTTCCTTTCAACTAGGCCTGCACACCACTTACACTGACCTCGAGAGCCGTGCGCGAGCAACTTGAGTGCAAAACCGGGCCGCGTGGATGGGTGGGGATTGTGTAACGTTCGTATACGTATACAGGAATAAATACGTAGAGAAAATGGACAACGTTTTCTCTAGTCTGAAACAAGTACAGGTGTGAGATCGCTTCCGCTGTTCTAGTCGATAGCTACATAGCTATCGGGAGACCCCGCATCCTAGGAACATGTGCCAGCATACGCAGGATGTCGGATCTTTTAGTATGTGTGCGTGGGGGGGGGAGAGTCCGTCCGTCCGTCCGCCCGCCCATTTTTTGAAGACTGTTCCAGGGTGTTGAAACAGTATTTTTTGTTATTTTTCAAAAATATTTGTTTGCGTTTGTTTCGCTCGGAGAAAGTTATGTCATATTTTTTCAATCAAATAAAATGGTGTGAAGTTGATGAAAAAAAAATTTAAAAAAACGCTGGTACCCCACTTGTCGAGATAGCTGGTCGGAGATACCCCGCAAGTGGGAGAAGGTCGATGTATCTCGCAATCCAGCTGGGGGGATAACCACCAACTTCCCCGATAAAATATATACTTCACTTTCGGGACTAGTGACCTTAGCAGTTGACGGAATCAGAAAATCAATCATTCATTAAGAAAATGTTGGCAAATTTTGAGAAAGTGTGTTTGTAGGACTTCCGGGCCGTCGATAAATTACATAACGTTAAAGAGGCGGGAGAGAGTTTTAGGCAGCGTTGCGCAGAGTTACATAGGGGTGGGAGATATTCCATTAGTACTGGCATTTTTAATATTTTTAACAGTTGTTGAAATACTAAAACTAAAACTTGAAAATATTATCTAATTAATTTCTTTTAAAACAAAATTATTTTAAGCTATTAGACGTTGTTTCTGAATGAATGAGTTAATTGAATACTTTATTTAGTGAACAATAATTTATTTTCACTTTTTTAATCTACATAGGGGGTGTGGCGGTCTCAAGCTTTACGTAATTATTATGGAGCGGATCTATCGGGCGTTACGATTGCGTTACAGGGGAGAGTGGGAATATTCAAAATACTCCCAATTTGCGTAATTAAGTTACGTAATTTATAAACGGCCCCTTATTTTCATGTGAATGTTTTTAATTTATTAGCGAACGTTCTTATCAACGGTGTTCATGTGTGAATCGCTGTGAAAAAGATTCACTTTATGGGCAGGCTGTGTAACAATGTCATCGGCCACCAGAATAATCGCTTGCATGGACCCAACGCAGGTGATCCCGTTCCTGGCGCTGGCGGTGGGCGTGGACAACGCGTTCATCCTGGCGGCGGCGGTGGAGCGCGAGCGCGCGCGCGCCGGGGAGGCGGCGGCGGCGCCGTCGCGCATCGGCCGCGCCCTGGGCCGCGCGGGGCCCTCGCTGCTGCTGGCCTCGGCCTCCGAGTGCTGCTGCTTCCTGCTGGGCGCGCTCTCCGCCATGCCGGCCGTGCGCGCCTTCGCGCTCTTCGCCGGCCTCGCCCTCGCGCTCGCCTTCGTGCTGCAGTGCTCCTGCTTCGTCGCCCTGCTCACCCTCGACGCCCGCCGCCGCGCCGCGCGCCGCCTCGACCTCTGCTGCTGCTTCCACGCGCCCAAGCCCGCGCCGCCGCACGACGTGCACGCGCCGCAGGAGGTGAGTTGCTCTTCAAAAGCCTACTTCCCGGCTTCCAGATGAACCCGACGCGACGTTGCATTTGGACCCCTTTCCCTGAGGGGGAACGTTCCATTTGTTCCATTTGGACATTTTCCCTGAGGGCCCATTACCTTTCTTAAAAAAAAAAATCTCGAAAGTTGGTTGAGTAGAAAATTCTAATTTATTTCTAAACGAAAACCTGCAATGTTTTACATATATATTATTTCTGTTATGTTGTATCAAATATGGACCATTATGCAATACGCTTTTACAATAGTTAATGTGTTTTGTAAGTGCTGGATCATGTGTTTGCAGTACTGAGATCGAGTTTTTGAGAGCGGTTGTTCGAGGCAATATGACAATGGAGATCGTACAATAATCAATAATTTCGGACACGAAATACAAGCATTTTCTAAACAACTATGTAAGCGTTTATGTTACGAATCCCGATTTAATTCGTTGCGAGTCTTATAAACTATTTTTGTGAATGATTGCATGACGCAAAGCCTTGGCCGGGCAGATCAGGAGAAGACGGGCAGGGAATATTTCTGTATTTTTATGAACGTTTGTAACGACAGTAATAGTTCAGTGGCAACACCTTGAGAGATATTTCCGGGCACGTCAATTGCTATGGCCATTTGTGTAGTGAATGTTTTGTCCCGGGGGTGGCGGCGTTATCCCCCGCGGAGGAGACTAGCGGCCGGTGTTCCGATCGCTAGTTTTCCATTGTTTCTCCAAACAATAACAAGTGAATGCCGCTGAAGTACCCTAACAAATAGGCGAGGGGAGCGCACAATCTTTCTTCCTCATTGTTGTTCCGTCCTCTTCCCTTATATTTACTCACTACTCAGTTAAGATACTAATGATCCTCGCTTGTTTCAAACTAGCGCATAACATTACTATCTCTGAATTTTTTAGAAAGGGCCCTTAGCATTAAATAGAAAAACGTTTTATTTCCGAGAATGTGTTAAATCCTTGATAATAATGTAATGGAGTCTAGAAATATATTTTAAAAATTCAACGATCAAGACAAACGGATGGAGTCATTACATCCGTTCATTGTAATCATATTTTTGTCTGAGTATATAAGTTTGCAATATTGTCTTGGGATATAAAATTCAAAATATTTCAGTCTTACTTAGTCATCAAAGTCAACAATTGCACTAATGTCATTAGGTTGATATTTTCAATAACTATTTTTTTATTTAAAAGAATTTAGTTATTTCTAAAATTTGCAAAATTAATATTATTTTGAACGACAATACTTAATATGTTCAATTATTTAAACCATATTTTTAGAAACAATGTTTCTTGAAATAGTATCTACATATCTAATTTGTTTAGTTTAGAAGTTAATTTCATTAACCCTAAAAAAAAGACTAATTTCACTGAGTAGGTTTTGACATTATATTTTAACTTTATAAAATCGTACAAAAATACTACATAAAATATGGAATGATGTACTTGTATGTGCAAATTCAACGATTTTCATAAAACTAGACCGGCTTAGGTGGCTCATCAATTAATATCACTGCAGTGTCTTTGACCGAGCGGTCCTATGATTCGAGTTCCGACGGTGCAGGATTTTCGGTACTGGGTCGAATTCAGCCGCTGTCTGGAGAAGAATTCTAGCGGCCGACTGTACTGATGGGTAGTGTTGTGTGGTTTCTCCGATCACTTCTCCGGAGCAGCAACAGGCCACAGACAACGCGCGATGTTTTCTTCCTCTCCCTTGTCCTATCCCTACATCTTACACACTCTTTCACTTACATGCTCTACTCTATCACACATGTAGGGAGCTTGGGGCTTGTCCCGTCCGGGGGTGGCGCCCCGCTGAGATAACTGGTTCCGAGAAAAGCACCGCATGCCGACGTGTAGGTCAGCGCCGGCTCTGGCTATCCAGCGGAGGAAGGTCATCACATGCACTACACTCATGGGATCAATGCCAAAACGGCGTTGACGAAGTTGACGCGCTCGGAAACACAGACTAATCAATCAATGAAATTACAACTTTATCTATTATAAACCCAATAGAGCAATAGTGTTACCATGAGGCTTCTTATAGCATCCGTATAAATGCTCTAATCGAATATGTTCACATCGTTGGTCATAAATTAATAATCTTAACGTCATAAGTAACTGTATTGCATGGTATTTTAAGGGAGAAAAGGTTTATTCAATGGCTGGATTCCAACAAAGCAAGGGACCTTACAAGAATTTATTGGCCTTAAGAAAAATTGAACTCTCTTCTTTGTATCATAAATGGATGAAACAAAAACCCAAAGCTGTCCCTAGTTACGGAGCCGTTCTAGGCTTCCACGTTATGAGTCAATTCCGTGCGATTACGAACGCTTTATCATGGGTAATATCACGATTTCTTTGGAAAAGGTCGATAAATCCCCGACTCGAGAAGCGAGGAGGGGATTTATCTGATAATTTACAAAGCACGAGGGGAATTTAATAGGAATATTTCACGAGTAAAATTATGTCCAACAGAGTTCTAAAATGAGCCAAATAATGAAAATATGGTAAAATCAAAGAGGTTATGTTAAACTACATAGGTGGCTCATTGTACATCGACGTAGCGATCGACATATAGATATTATATTGACATATAGATACACTGCCCTAATTGGGGCATTTTGTATATATAATTAAACACTATTGATTTTAATTTCACGAGTGGAATAGTCTGAAATTGGTCTCATGGATGTTCCATTTTGTTCGGAGAATTTGAAGTCTCAAGTTATTCCTGTGCTATACAATTCAGAAATTATTACTAGTATCATGGAAGCTAATTATGAGAGAAATATTGCCATCTTGTCAGCTTACACTTACAAATATTCGCAAACCATTAAACACCAGAAGGAATTTCAGAACTATAAATTCATCAGAATGTGTCTCAGTTGACGTCACATTAAAATTATAGGGTTCTGCAGTCATATATGATGCAGAATATATTTCTATGATTGATAGTAGAATTTTCACACTTCAATTGCATAAGAGAATATTCTTATGAAGACGCACACCACGGCGTGACTAAACAACTTTAAGGAAATATGTGCAGATCGTAACCTATTCGGTTGCAGTCATTCTATTTTACCAGATAACTGAATAAATTTATTCATCACCACCATATTTTTGTACAATATTGACCATATTTCTAAAGTTTGTCACATTATAGGAATTGTAAAGTGTTGCGCTTCCCTTGATTCTTTATCAGTAACAACTCCACTTTTAATAATTTAAACAGATAATTTTTAACGAAGAATTATAAGGTTATCGAATGAACTCTCATATTAATTTATTTTCTTATAAATCTTCACAAAGCTAATTGCCACTTGGTCTCTTTAATTGGCATATCACGACTCTACTTTAATAAATCCTAAAACATTATTTGCTGAGTAGTTACGTTTTTGAATTCGAAGATTATCTCTCCATTTTATCTCCATCCGTTATCAAATAAACCTCGTCATATCGTAAACCTCTACATCAAAATATGAGTAGTTATGAACAGGGGCCCATTTTTATCCAGAAGACCGATTACTGAATTCGTTGTGAAGTATGCTGTGCGTTTTTCGGTATTTGCAGCGGTATTTGATTTCAAAACACTTTAATGTTATATTGGTTGTTAAGATTACCGGATTGTTAAGATTAATATGTATGTTGAAACTAGTGATGCTACACAGACTTTCTCATACTAAACAGTTTTCTAATATCTTTAATCTAGGCTTGCTTTCCGGTGTTACCCCGCCAACTTCCTTCAAGTCCTTTTTTTATTTTAATTTTTTCAATTTTTGGGTTCACTCAAAATTTAAGTAAAATCTAACTTATTTTTTAAATATTGTAGACAAGTAAAACATGGCCTTACATGCGTATTTTCCTTCGAAACTTTGGAGCCGTTCATGAGAAAACGTCGTTTGAGCCTTTCTGAAGCTGGACCCTAAGGGGAGGAAATGCATGGAAAATCTAATTTTACAATTGATTCAGTACATGCAGCAGAATCCATGCAATAAAGTTATGGAAAATGCACAGCTGTTAAGAAAATCCTGTTTTTTAAATTGTCTTCCTCTCACTGTAAATTAAGCGAAAGTTACTCAAATGTTGAAATAATTGTATAAAACCTCTATCCCGATGATGATGATGATGATATAATAATAATAATAATAATAATAATAATAATAATAATAATAAATCAATTTAATCAATGCAGCACAATAAGTATTTTCCTCGATAGTATTTACTATTGTATTGTAATGCTTCGGCAAAAAGCTGTGATTTTTCCAAAGAAAAAATGCAGTGGGACCCTGATAAAGAAAAAGGGGATACATCTTTTTCCAACATGTAGTATACCATTCCATCTAACACTCAGTGTACCGGGAGAGGTGGCTCAGGTCATAAACTGATGTCATTGCAGTGCCACTGGTCGGGAGGTCGTAGGTTCGAAGCCCGATGGTGACAGGGTTTTCGACACTACCTTGTCAACTAGATCAAGTTCAGCCGCCATCTGGAGGAGAATTCTCGCGGCCGGCTGCTCTGATCGATAGTTTTCTGGCATATCCACAGTAGGCGAGTGCCGGACCAGTACCCTAGCAGCGTCCACGGACCGCGCGCGATCTTTCCTTCCTTCCTCCACCTTATGTACACCAAGTGTATTTACACACACTCTACATACACTACACTACCACATATGCCGGGAGACTGGCCGGAAGCTTAGAGCTTGTCCCGTCTGGGGCGATGCCCCGCTGGTGAGAGATACCTGGTTGGGGAAACCCCGCTAAGGGATTAATGACCTGAACAGTTGACGCAGCCGGAATTTCAAATCAATCATACACGCAATGTAGTCAAAAGCAGTTTTGCGGGTCATTGATACCGAAAGATTTGTTTACAGCAAACGTCTATCAGTCCGTCTAAATGTGTAAACGCTAGTGTCTATGAAAAATATTTTATGCCAAAGTATTATGTCCTTTTTGTTCATCACTTTTAACTTGAATTTGTAACGCTTCGCTGCGCCCAAGTTAATGACACTGTTCTAGCTTTCGACCTATGCGGTTAATTTTAATTCAGGTATTTAATAAGATAAGATATTTAATGTCCTTCATTGTCAATTAATTAATTATAATAATATATTGTTAGTACGATGCTTTATATCACAGAGTTCGCTAACTTTCCCTAGTACACCCCCTAGTTCAAATTCAATATTTCAAGTTTAGTATCCTCGGAAAGATAAAATCTTCAAATGATGTACACCTTACTGTGTTGTTTTTTTTCTTTCCTTAAACCTCTGGATAAGTTCGCTTAAGATATCTTCTTGGCGACTTTGATCCATCGTTTTCTATTGTTTATGAACATAACTGCTATATTATTTTCAACGCTTGATGATATCACACAGACCTTAAAGTTCTTGATCTCGCTCTAGGGTGCTCATGGAATTAGTCGAATGCCGTGGAGTACTACGGCAATGAACTCTGCCCGCTCAACGAGTGAATCATAACCTTCTACCGCGCCGCCGCGCTCGTGCCGTGCAAAGGGGTCCTCATTACGTCACACACGCAATCAGGCCCGACGCGTGGAAGCTATTCAGGGTCAGGCAATCTGAGTCGGATGGAATTCTTGCTTTCATTTGTACACTCCAGGAATTTATCAGAATGTAGTGGTAGGCAATTCTAAGGTTTCAAAAGTGTTATATAAAAGTGAACAAAGAATAGGCCAAAGTGGAAACATTCGCAAGTGACGTTACGTTACGTTAATGATATTTGATGTAGGGATATAGGAGATTCTCAATGAACAATTTGCAATCAAGAAGTAATTGCAGAATATGCTGCTACTTTACACAATTCCCCCGCCTCAATTGCAGCATTGTAACTAATGACACCCTTTTTAAAGGAGCATTAAATCAATTATTATTCCCCCAAAATGTTGGAGGGAATCCTTCCAAAATAGTGGGGGGGAGACAGATGGGTCATACTGAACAATAGGACCCGAAACATCCTTTTTATATCACTGTTAATGTAAAGTGTGCCTTTGAATAAGACATTTTACCCATTCCCGCCACTGTTCAAAACTTTATCTCATTACAATGTTATATAATATGAAAGGACTGGATTACCTAATTGTTTATGTCAGTTGTGTTTGTTTTGTTACATTTCTACCATGAATGCATACACTCTTTTATTGTACACATGATGAATGCGCAAATGCTCTTAGAATCTTCGGAGATACATCTGCATCACATTTTGGATAAATGCGGGGCTTGTTGCCTTCACAAATGGAGCTAATGATTACAACGTTAAAATTTTTGAAGACAGGTTTAGAATATTCATGATATATGGTCCTCTTATTGTTCTGCAAATATGTGAAAATGGGTTGGGAATAAATGGAAAAATATCGTCTTTAAGTGCCATATATCTACTGAACTTTTAGAAAGAAGAAAATAAAAACGGATAAGTGATATTCCCGGGGAATTATCGAATGCTGAAAGGCAATTTAGACGATTACATGGATGCGGCGATGATGAATAGGATATCAATAGGATGACAATATGAAATCGTGAAAATACTGATTTACCTTTCCTTCTCACGTTACAGTGGTAGGGTGAAAACATTTCTACTTTAAGGGGATATTGTACTCGGCAGTCTTCGCAAGAGGCAATGTATTTCCCGAAATGAAAATGAAAAGTCTGCGAGTTTTAGTAGCACCACGATAAAAGAAAACATAAAATTGGAATGTGGAGAACAAATTGCAGACTTTGCACAGAGGTGTGTCACTTGTTTATTACGTCACGGAAAGTCGCCAACCCCATTTAATGGTGTTAATAGTATTAAAGAAGTTAGTTCGGGGTCCAACACCCGAGTTTGCACGCGGTGTAGAGTACAAAGTAAAAACTGTCACGTCTCACTTGTGGCAGGGAAAATTATCAGGTGCATGCATACGTTTTTACCAGTTTTTGTGGTAAAGAAAATACGCAATTTTCTAGAGAAATTCATATTTTGCTTATTCAAAAATATTGGCCATTGGCTTCTGTACACTTCGCCCTTCTCTCAGGTAATGTATGAATAACACGACAGAAAAAACTGCTTGTGAGGCAAACCATTCGTCGGGCCATTTTCAAACTTTTCCGAAATTGCTGAATTGCTGCTCTGAGAGCGCGAGCCCCATTAATGCGGAGAGGTGATAGTCAGTTGGCACCAAGTTGAGGCAGTATGGTGGGTGTGGAAGGATGTACAATCCAATTGACTTCAAGGTGTCTTCAACTGGTTGTGCTATGTGAGGTGGCACATTGCCATGCATTACAGTTTCATTCGAACCTTGTGGATCATTTACCGAGTTGATGTTCACCATTGCTCGAAAACGTTTAATGATTGTTTCTTATGAGACATTTAATACTTTTGTCAGTTGGTGTTGAGTTAGAGTTGAGTCATCATCCAATAACCCCTGCATTTGCTCGTCTTCACACTTTTCTGGTCTGCGAGGACACGCATTGACTTTGACACTGAAATCACGTTTAAATCATCGAAAGCATGCTTCACGTGTTCTAAAGAACTCATGTTCTGGAGCGTGTTCACGATATGTTTATACCAGCAAACAATAACTTTCCACAGCCTTTTTTCTTTTGATTAAATACGAAAAGCAATGCGTGCCGCAAAGTTTGTTTTTCCTTCACCAACTCTGACATGATTACTAGCATGCAAAACGCCGCGACAGACGGCACACCATCATTTAAAGCTGTGTTCTGCTAGCAGTGGTGCATATGCACACATCCCGTAGCGAGGGCCCGGTGCCGAACGCCGCCGCGTTGGAAACCCGCCGCACGTGGGAGGATCTCCATTCAAACCTATGTTCTGCGACAAGCCGCGGTGTTCGGAAGCGCGCGGCGGTGGTGCCGTCAGAAGATGTCCTTTAACATCCCTCACGTTGTCCAAAAACAAATTTTAAGCAAAATCGATGGAGACATTTTTTTAATTTTGAAAATGTTGAACGGACTGACGGACGGACTGACGGACGGACTGACGGACGGACTGACGGACGGACTGACGGACGGACTGACGGACGGACTGACTGACTGACGGACGGACGGACGGACGGACGGACGGACGGACTGACGTTTTGTCGTCAATTGATTTTTCGGTATCAATGACCCGCAAAAGATAAATTCTGGTTACGCCACATATAATAGATTTGTTTTCTAAAGAGTTTTTCTGCCAAAGACTCGCAGTTTTTTTGCGCAACATTAGATAGCATTCTCTCTACTCCGTAGCGAGAAAGCAAAAGCTGACCCGCATTTGTGTGTGTGTGCGCGCAGGGCTTGCTGAGGCGTCTGTTCCGCTCGGCGCTGGCGCCGGCGCTGCTGCGTCGGCGTAGGACGCGCGCCGCCGTGGTGGTGGCGTTCGTGGCGCTGCTGTGCCTGTCGCTGGCGGCGGCGCCGCGCATGCGCGTGGGGCTGGACCAGGAGCTGGCGGTGCCCGAGCGCTCGTCGCTCGCGCGCTACTTCCGCACGCTCAAGGAGGACCTGGCCGTCGGCCCGCCCGTCTACTTCGTGGTGCGCGATGGCCCCGACTACTCGGATCCCTTGGTGCAGGACCTGCTCTGCGGCGGCGCGCGCTGCCGCCCGGACTCGCTCACCGCGCAGATCCACAGGTGCGCACCATGTACTAGATACGTAGGATACAAGACTTAGTACTGCGATTACGAGATGGGGACCGGGAGAGATGACAGGCTCAGGGAATCAATTGATGTCTGCAGTACCTGTCCCCACGCTGGCAGCATTTTCGACATTAGCCAGGTATCTAGGTCGAGTTTTGTTGCTGTCTGGAGGGAAATTCTAGTGGTCGGCCGCTCTGATCGGTATTTTGCGAGGTTTCTCCGATCAATATCAGGCAAATGCTCGAGCAGTACCATAATAAATGAAACACGGATCGCGCGCGATATTTCCATCCCATTCCTTGTCTTATTCTACGCCTTACACTGACATGCACTACATTACTTCACTTGCCGGGAGACAAGTCGGGAGCTTAGAGCTTGTCCCGGGTGGGGCAGTGGCCCGTTGGTGGGAGATAATTGGTTGGGTCTCGCCATCCGGCGGGGCAAGACCAACGCCACCTCCCGAGCAAAAACATGCACTACACTTACGGGACATATATTCGTGTCCGGAATCACTATTAATCAATCAATAAATGACTTTGGATAATTATGAAACAAAGCCATTCGGCCGAGATCGATAACTAAAGAACATATTTACGTGTAACTGAGTCTTTTCTTTGCTAACTTGAAAATGGATGAAACCTTAACACAAATTTGAATCACGAAACGGAAATTACTGTAGTATTTGTTTTATTTTACAGAAATCGCACGTTTTGGGTCACTGCACGATATTGCATGTTAAAGGTAATGCCTGAAAATCGCTTTTTGGTTTTTTACTTGATTAGCGGATTTTACTCGACCAATTAGCAAGATTCATAGTTTTATTGCATAAAATATACATATTTGTAATAGTATCAACGTGTTTTAATTTATCTCCTTTTAAAGATTTCATTTAAGAAAAAGTTTCTTGACATAACCCAGCAGTGCATTCTGGTGGTCGTGAAACATTCTGTCGTTTAATGTGTGTCAATTCTGCATTTTGTTGCCCTATGCACTCAGCGTGTATACATTTCATGATGCGTATTGTCTAATTAAAAATTCTGAGGGATTCCATTTGGGAATAGGGATATGTGGGGTTACCACGAACTAGGTCTGCGGTCCTTGGTCGCGGCCGCTTAGCCAACGCAATTTTATCTTCCCAGTCGGATCATATATCATTTTGCCAGTCTTCGCTGAACTTACCAATATGAGATTTTTCTTGTGTGATTTACATTTGACCGTATGTCCAGGCGCGTACCTGATGTGAGGCAAGCTGTAATGGGTTCCAAATTCATCGAATTTCTCTGAACAGATGTTGCCCTGCGAAATCGAGAGAGACGAAAGGCAGTTTTTGACCGCTTTTAGCTGCGTGCATACTTACGTCAGAGTGAGACTCTGCACACAGTCAAGTGTAGTTAATATTTTTATTGCACATTTTTGCACGTTTTGGTGTTTTTACTGCACGTTTTAGAAAGTATTACTGCACAAAAATCCGGCCTTTGTTGACAACCATTTTAGTGTTGATGTGGGTAGGGGGCCGGTGAAGGGAATGCAAGAGTAGTTCAGCAAGGGGATACGCTAAGGAATTGGAATTCTGTTTTTTCTGCTTAATAGATTGCGATTAATACGTAACCGTCAACGTAAGACACTTCAGAAAGTTTGCAACTAAAATAGCCGAGGCCTCTCATTTTTATCACCGGATTACAACTCTCAGAGCTGGTAACGCGCCAAATACAAGGGTTCGACAAAAAGGAATGAGAATTTTCTTTCTCTGAAACGACTTTATTGACAGAGGTATTTAATTTACATACCTTCAAAATAGTAGCATCCGTTATTAATGACCTTTTGCCAAATATTGGAAAGGCGTCGTACACCATCTGCGTGTCTTTTTCTGTCGATGTCCCATATCGACCGCCCTATAGCAAGAATATTTTTTTTCTCTGGTATTGTACCGGGTTCTTCGCAGTGGTTCTTTCATTTTGATGAAGGAAACGTAATCACAGGAACTCGTATGTGGTAAGTAAGGTGAAGGCTCCAACCCGCGAGCCTTCGGCGCAACTGCCATAACGATCTCGGCCACCGGTGGTATTGTTCGCGAATGGATGGGCATTTCGCTGTTAACATGTTTTTCTGTATCGGACTCACAAAACCTGTATTCTGACTACAGAACATGTTAGAGGAAGTTATTTACTACATTTTGAAACAAGATTTATTCACTTTTTCTTTATCACAACTATGCAATAAGTGTTTTCTGGCGCCTTAATTCGATGCAACATTACAATAGTTTTTCCATACTACGAAAGTACATAGTATGCTAGGAAGTAAAAATTTAGAAAATAGAAATGTATAATATATTTTTAATTTTGAATCTTCAGTGTAAATTTTACTTCCTCAAATAGACTAAATGTACTAACTCAGTGAATACAGAATATTATTGCTTGCGTTATTAGCAGATAGTTTAAACCGTACGACTAAGTATTTGAAGACAAAATTGCCAGCGAATAGTGTGTGTGTAATATATATTTGTGCAGGATAATAATTAAGCCAAAATGAGTGTCTGTAAACAGAGTGAAGTTTTATTCACTTTTATCAACTATTATTTAATTATATATATAATATTTATTATTATTGTTGTTATTATTATTGTTATTATTATTATAGGCGTTTAGGCAATTACTGACCACGCTACACTATTAACGTGTGTAATTTTAGGATCAGTATTTCAGCTGTATCCCTCAATACAAGGTTGTTACGCCTTAAAATGTGAATAATGAGATGATAGAATGATGATGTGTGAAGGAACAATCACAAATAGGACCATGTCTACGCAGGACTCGAACCTGCAGTCCCTCGGCGCAGATGACGGCTGCTGCAAATATCACCTTTTCTAAATGCCAAGATGCGTCTGTCTGTGCTTGAATGCAAGGAGAACGCCACCGGCCAGCTGCCCCTGTGCCATTCCTCAAAGCTGATTTTCATGTTTCACTAACTAAAGCAAGCGAATAAATTTGATTTTGTTGTGCAAGTGCTACTACTCGCTAAAATATTCTCGACCTTGTTTAGGAAGATTGGGACTGTATCTTTTGCGCCGCAATAAAATCCAAGGACGAGAGACCTGGCGAACCAAGAAACATAGTGGAACGTTTCCTGGTATTTTTTACTTACTTTTTTTGCTCCTTGCCAGCATTGATCATCTGTAATTGATCTACGAACTACGAGGAATAAATAGAGTTCCTTTCGCTTCATACAATACGAAATAGCGTTTTGAGATAATTTTTGTGTACTGAAATGTATATGGAGACATCATTAGGAAGATATTTTTTACTTTTTGGGTACAAAAAAGTACACGTTTAAAAATGCAATGGACCCTCAGTCGGCTTCCAGTGGCGGGATTTCAGATTTTTTATTGGGGGGGGGAAGTGGCAAAGGGCCCTTAAGATGATAAAAGGTTCCCCAAAACCTTCATTTCTTCATCGGGGCTAGAGTACAAAGACAAACTAACAATGACACAAGTGTCTTGTGCTTCCCAGAGTTTGGGTGAAGCGCTGTCCCGAATTATTCAATCGGTCACTCACGTTGAAGTGTCGTTTGAATTGTGGAGAGTTATTCATCACCAGGAATGATTAGCCTGGTAAATGTGGGTCTACTTGGCTTGGGCTAGTAGAATCAATGTGTGGCGGAATTTGACACACTAAATTTATTGCCTTGCACTACGCTGAAGGGCTTGGCAGCCACACCAGCCACAAGTTTCATACAATTTATACATGTTAATACTTCGGTTTTATTGAAAGTATGCTTTAACTTGTTACTCTGCATGTTCATATTTGATTGCGCGATTGAGCACCGTATTTGTTCCATCGTTCTTTTGTTCATTTGATTCTCCCTGGAAACTTTCTCAGTTTTGTCTAGCCTCCGTGTCGTTTCCTTGCTTTCCCTTGCTCTGCTCCCCTTTCTTGTATCTGTGCGTGAAACCTTTGCCTCAGCCTGTGTGTAATATGTTTTCGTCGCGTATCGTACCCATAATTGGTCTCCGTCACATGTCACGAAATACCTCTTTCGAGTTAAGTTCTCCAGAAGTGTCAGTGTTCGTTGCGTCAGCTCGTATGGTAATTATCACCGACGGACTTCCCGGATCTTGTCCAAGCGTGTTTATATTATTTCTCCTACAAAAAGTGCTTTGACTTGCTGCACGCATATGCATCACAATATGCTTGCTACATAATATTCCTTTGAGCAAATTGGTCTGTGTAACGGTTGATAATTACAATATTATTTTCTCTTCTGTCTCAATCATTGTAGGAAGTGAGTGTCCCCGCTGATTATAAAGTAATCCCGTAGAAAACTAATATCCGACCCATGGGGGTACCGACACTTTCCCATGCGAAGGATTTGGTTATTGTTTGCAGGACAGAAACTAGGTAGTTACTAATTAGTCAAAGGTTTCACAAATATAACTTTATAAACAATAATAATGTGATTATTGTTATTATTGTTATTATTATTATATTATATTATTATTATTATATTATTATTATTATTATTATTTATTATTATTATTATTATTTTGCTTGCGAATCGGCCGACCAGGACCACGCATGCATGCATCCTGCTTTTACCGTGGCTCAGTATCATTATCGCGGTGTCAGGTGCATGTAACTTTTTTTTAAATTGGGGTCCAGCATTTAGCTGAGTCCGATTTTTATTCCACCGGGATTGTTAGCCCTGGGGGTATGGATGATGAAATGATGATAATGAGGGGTGGAAGGACGACACACTCATACACAAATACACACCCATGCCCGCAGCGGGACTCGAACCCGCGATATTCTGGTCCGAAACCACTACGGCACTTCTGCCTTAGTGATCTAGGCCATCTGATGGGCTGTTATTGTGGTTATTGTTATTATTTATTATTATTATTATTATTATTATTATTATTATTATTATTATTATTATTATTATTATTATTATTATTATCAGTGGACTCAGACCTCAGACCACCTGGTCCTCCGATAACCTCCTGGTTGAATATACATTACACATAACTGACACCTTTAAGACAGGAGGGGGGAAATTTGCGATTTGAAGTTCGAAACAAGTGATCATCCCAGCATACGCCTTCAGCGATAATAAGCTATTCATGAACAATGGCTAGCAAGATCGTGTGACCTCCATCCCCATCCAGCCCCCAACAGTGCTATTCAATTTTCCCAACTACCGGAGGTTAGATAATAACAAGAAAAAAATACTGTTTTTAACACATTTTCGTTTAAAAAGGTTCATCCCCTCACCCTCCCCCGCCTCTTATACACAAGAAAGTTAAAAGAGCTGGGGGACTAAGGAGGGGAGCTATTTTTGGGATTGGCCGGTAGACTACCATAGGTAGGTACTGAAAAATTCAGTTTTTGCACGGTCCCCATGTAGGTCCGATGAACCAGACATATTTGGTGGGCGTATAGCCTTTTCCCATTGCACCAGGTCTCGTATTTTAGGGGAATGTGGCAATTTTACGATAGAAGATAGATTTACCGGCGGGGGGGTGGGGGTGATGTTTACCGCAGACGTGGACAAAACGTTTGGCCCAACAATGCAACTGGACCACGGCTTACCAGCCCGGAAAATCTATCTTCTATTGACTTCTATTGGTATTTACACCAAGTTATAGCTCAGTCTCTTTTAATATGTCCGCAAATTGGGCGATACACACAAATCCGAGACGGGCGAGACATCACGGTAAACGCAAATTGTTTCGCGTCAGGGACTCTCATCATTGATTTTTGTGACATATCCCAACATTTTTCTTCTGTACTGTAAACTATATTTGTCCAAGAAAATGGCGGAGTGGAGAATGAAATAGTGGAGCAACAACAATACATACTTTCTGGCTTTTATTTATAACGTTATTAAAAATTATAATACACGAGTATGAACCTGCAATATTTTTTCAAACTAAACAAAATATTTTCTCCGCGATTGATTCGAACTCGATTCTGAGAGTTGTTACGTCATTCACTTTATCCCTACACCCACCAGCTTCGCAGCTGAAATCAACCGTTCCCTCGCATAAAAAAGGTGAACATTTGCATTTGAAATTTTTCAAGAATCCAGATGTTTTAATGTACATTACTTCTATCCAGGTTTAAAGAACAAATATAATTAAGAAACTAGTGGTGCTCAAACAGCATATACGTTCTCGTATTATTTGTAAGTTGTTCGCCGTAATATACTACAACGAAATTGTTTTCAGCCAGCAAACATTTTTCGCACAGAGATTCGAACTAAGGTCCTCCGTGTTAATTCGCCGTCAGCCATGCCAATACGCTTCACAAGAACGAAAAGGTCTGAACAGGGAGACAAGCAGCATAATTTTTTCGACCTGTGTTACATACGAGAAAAAATAAGAAATTAGGAGCGGTTTTAAAAGAAAAAATTTTTTTTTCAAAAATAACCATTTTTAAAAGTTGATTTTTTTAACAGACTTTCTTTAAAGCAAAAATTAAGAGAAAATTTGGAGATAAAGATTTTTGCCTCAGACAAAGTCTGTTGCCCAAAATTAGCTCTTCAAAAAAGGTCATGTACAATTTCTTTTAAAGAGTAGTTTTACGCCATTTCTGTTTGAAATGAATGAAATATATACAGGTTTCACATCAATTACGTACCACATTCCATTTATGGCAAAAATGGCGCTTTTAGAAAAATTAATAAGAAAATAAAAGTGCCCATTGTTGGCAGCGCCCATCAGAGAGTATATATCGCCCATCGCTTCATGCGCGCTTTGTTGTCAGCGCTCATCGACTGAGATAGAAATGCGGTATAAAATTATTACATAACCGTTACTAAGGGTCAAGTAAGTGCTGTTTTCGTACCACTAGTTATCGGATAGTCATAATACATCACACAGTTGATAAATAACTAATACTAATGAACTAATTAAATTACGAATATTCTACAATTTGTAATGTCAGTTAATTTTTTACCGCCTTTTTATATACCATTGACGCCGCCTCAAAGGAAGCACAGGAAAATAAACCACAAATTAGGTAATATGTTAGTTAGATCGACGACGATGGAGTATCCCCCAAAATACTTTAAATGAAAGTAAAATATCTGTTTCCAAATACTAAAATCAATTTGGGCCTTACCGGCCTATTTTTTAATAAAAGAAGTTTAAATTAGTACAGGCTCTTATGGAAAACTTTCGTGGGCATAGTTTTCTTTAAGTTTTTGGTATAGTTATAGTTTTTGATATAGTTGATATAGTATAGTTTTTCTTTTATTTAATACGCAGTAATTTTTTTAGAGATCTGATAATATTAAATGGTATTTAACATATCTCACCAGACATTCTCATGAGTAATTTATGAAAAAAACTGCTGCGAAATTTCGCGAGTGATACGCGAAATTCTATTGTTACATTTCTCGCATTGTTGATATTCCCTGAAAGATAATAATTTTTATTTCATATACTTCAAACAGGTTTTAAATAATTTCTAAAAAACGTGTAAATGTATAACTAAATGTCTAATGTAAGAAAAAAAACAAATATTAAATAATATGCAAATTCTAACATACGAAGCATCCAACTGCCTGGAATCGTTCACTAAGCGCAGTAAATTCGCATCAGGCATTCAATTTTGTTACCAAATTACATAAAAATACTCATACTTTTAAAAAATTCAACATACCTTATTTGAAGATGTTTTTTATGAACACGTATCATTAAGAAAGAAAATTGTACCTTCACAATTGTAGTTGTAAGACGATTTTTTTTTCGCAAAATTAGGCCTTTCAACGACCTTGAGACCTGTACTATTCTCTTAAGCGTCTTTTATGCCCTCTAAGGTCCCTATTAATTTTTAAAAAATGCATTTTTTAAGAAAAAGTGTTTAATGAAAATAAAAATTGCCAATTTTTGACCCCAAATTTCGCACAAAACTCATTTTTTTGAAAAATTGAGCATGACCTTTGAAGATGTTTTTTATGTACACATTTCATTAGGGAAAAAATATATCTTCAAAATTGTAGTTGTAGGAACATGCCAAACAAATTTTGAAATTTTTCATTTTTCGAAAAGTCTGGGTTTTCCACGAACGTGACACCTGCATTATTTTCTTAAATGTTCTTCAGATTTCCTAACAAGAAAATTTAATCGATATTGATGGAGCTATTTTTGAGAAAAAAATTGTTTAAACAAAATTAACTGGTATTGCTGAAAATGGCACAGTTTCTCATAGGAAAGTTTTCTAATTTCCTTGGTAACTGGCTTTACGGGCTTGAGCCCATCTTGCCAGCTGCCATCTATCGCCCCCAAGTACATTTACTCAATTTTTTGGATTCCTACCAGTAGAATTCAAATACTTTTTTAGGAATATTGAAGAAGAGTAAAACCTCGTCCTACGTAACACTTTTCATTTAAAAATTTGGAGCCGTTTAAAAAAAAGACGTTAAGTGTTACTGTAAATGCGAAATTTTAAGCTCTTTGTACAGGACACGTCATTTGAAATCATTTTATGTACCGTAACTCAATATGCAATAGTGTTCACGAATTGCTGAAAGTGTGCGTATTAATGGCATGTGAGATATATTAAAAGAATATATTTGTGTAAGTTTTGGAAAAACAAAAGAATACGCCAAAATGAACTTTGCCATTTTAAACACTGGAATTAGCACTACCTGTGGCCAAGGTTTGAAAAAAAAAAAATTGAAGCCATTTGAGGAAAGAAACTAAAGGAGGGACGGACGAACGGAGGGAGAGAGGGAGGGACGGAGGACGAACGGAGGGAGAGAGGGAGGGACGGACGGACGGACGAACGGAGAGAGAGGGAGGGACGGACGAAAGAACGAACGGACGGAGAATAGACGAACTGACGTTTTGCCTTTTATCGACTTTTTGTTATTGACGATCCACTAAATATGGTTCTGAATACACAAAATGTTACGGGAAAATTTACTGCATACGAGAACAAGATTTATCAACTCTTTCGTTACCGGGGGTCAACAACAATCAATACATTCAAAATATCTCTGATTTTTTCCCAGCAATATTACAATATTCACAGTATTACATAATCTTTATTACGTACATAGTAATTCGAAAGTAAAAAGTACTTAAAATGTACAATTAGCATCATCCAGATGCCATGTGAACTTGGTTTTGTTTCGATAAACTTGAATTTTGATGTTATCTAATTCTCCTAGTTATTTTTGTGTTTACTTTAAAAGTATGGGATATTTTTTCTGTGATATACATTGAATCCCTTTGTGATCTGCAGCGCATCCAAAAATCCTGAGGAATCCTACATCGCCCGTCCAGCTGCCTCTTGGCTGGACGACTATTTCGACTGGTCGGCCATCAGCGACTGTTGCAGAAAGGGCCCGAATGGAACTTTTTGCCCACATGAAACATTGAGGTGTGTAAAAATTGTTTCATTTTCATTGTATCTTCAAATTTTGATTTTTTTATTTGTTTCTGTTTGAAAACATCACATTTTCCGCACGTTTCGAAACAAAAGTATTCTCAAAACATAGTACCTTAGCGTATTGACAAAGCTTTCAATAATAATAATAATAATAATAATAATAATAATAATAATAATAATAATATAATATAATAATACAATTAATTAGAAAAACAATTAATTGCAGCATTGGAGACGAGTTCAACCAAAGCGATTTTCCCCCTTCATTTGTCTTGCAACAATAAAAGAACAGTGAGTGTAAAATTTAGAAGAGCAAATTACAAGTCGTACATTATGATAATGCGGTTCATAAATTTAAATTTAAATTTCCTTTTATGGTAAATGTTCTAATTTCATTTATCTAAAGGATACTTACTCTGCAGTTTAGAGCATTGCCATGATTAATTTTGGATATGAATGTAATAAGAAAGTTGAAATCGATCAATAATAATGAGATCTGTAATATGTCGTGTTCCATCGTAAGGAAGAAATACAACAATTAATCACTGACCTTGTGTAACAGTGACAAAATACAGCCTATTCAGAAATTTCAAAATTAACCGGAACGGATAATGCTTGAACTTTTTTAATTCTAAATTCAAGCGAATAGACTAGGCGAAAAACAATTTGCTACTTAAAAATTATTAGTTGGGGAATATAGAACTACACTAAACAGTCCACCTCGAAGCTCCAGTATCTGGGTCTGCATGCATACGAACTTTTATAGAAGCATACAAAATGTATAAAGAGCAAAATAGCCTAAATGTAATAAAAAACAATACCAAATGTATTTTAGCGACTTAGGTCTCCTAAAATGTTAAGCCAATTATGGAAGAATCGGTTGTACTTCTTTTAAACGATCCTCGATGACTGTCCTTTTTTTCCTCCAAAATGTGTTACAAAGATTGGTTTTCAGATAATTGTCAAAATCCATGCTGCTTTCTGAAAGTTTCTCAGATGGGCGAGATAAACCTCGCGAATGAATTTACGCATTGCTTACAGTGGATGGTACGTTCGACCATCTTTTCTATCATTTTCAATTCCTTGACATTTTTGATATCAGAATGCCATTTTTCACCTTCTAACCAGATTCTAACTTGCACAACACAATGTGGTATTTGAGGAGACAAATATGAGCTTCCGTCATGTATCCTCTGGTTAGTCTCGTTTTTCTTCCCTTTAATTCCACCACCTGGTCCATGTACATTTATTTGTCTTTGCAACATCAACATGCTCTATAAAGCAACCATCATATCCCAACTAGAGAGAGTATATGAGGAGCAGGCTGTAGAAAATGTGTATTTGCACACTTATGTAAGAACGTAAAAATGAGAAGGTGAACATAACGTTCATTCATTCTTTAACATTACTCACAGTTTTGTTTTCTCCGTATTCACTTGATATTCTTAAAGTTTAATAAGTTCCGAGGCAATAGGATTTCGCAATTTTTTTAAAAATACGTTAATTTCATTCTAAATCAAATCAATCACATAGAGGAGAGATACAACTCTCTACTCTCTATCTCAAGATCTCTACTCTATGATCAATCAGTGCGATTTTCGTGGTAATTCATTTGTTCACTTAAAAGTGTCAACAGTAGTGTTGCCAACGTCCTAAATTAAAATTATGGCGTATTTTGCTAAAACAATTGTTTGGGTACGGGTGTTTAATCAACGCCACCTACACAGATCAATTTAGGCGGCATTGGTTTACTTCCTGGCACACACTAAGATCGCAGCGCCAAAACTCAAAAACACATTTTTGAAAATATATTTGAATCTTCTAACGGGATCCGAAAACAAAGTATCAGTTCCCCTACAGGTGACCGAGACGCGTCGAATGACACCATCTGCGTCTCGATTGGTGCACGGGAAGTGGTCTAGACGCCAGGGACGGAATGGTAGAGAATGCTTAATTCAAGGCCGCCATTTTGTCCTTGCATTAACTGCAACCTGTCAGCGTCCCAATAGCGCCCTCAACGACATCTAGCGTCAATACTGTACACTGATTAATGTATTAACTAATTTACAATTAACATGTGTGATAAATGCCCTGTTATAAAAGAAAAAAACGTGGTAATTATAGCGTGAATACATTGACATTATTTGGCTTGGCAATTAAACAGTGCGATCTGTTGAGATTAGATCAACTCGTGTTGCATATTACGTGATTGTGTTGAAGCTTGTTGTTGTGAGGAGAGATCCTGCAGGTTACTAAGGTTGTAATTAATGCAAGGGCAAAATGGCTGGCTTGCATTAAGAATGGTTACTTGTGTGGCATGGAAATTGTTTGCTGGCACACATATTCATGCACAGATAGCCGTGGACTCTACACCATACACTGAATGTGGTAACTGGGCACCAAGCACAGACACAGGTTAAGATGGTATAGTGGTACCGCTTAATGTCACATGATACCGCTATGATTCCATGCATTAGATTGTCTTTTGTGTTTCTCAACGAAACTGGCTCCTCTCTGTTCTCTTTGAGTTTCCCAACAGAACTTCCTTTGCTCTCTTTGGGTTTCCTAACTGACTCTGCTCCCTTGAATTTTCCGACAGAACTGTCTCTGCTCTCTTTGATTTTGCAGTCGGAACTGGTTCTGCTTTAAGTTTCCTAGCGGAACTTGCTTTGATTTCCTTGAGTTTCCCAGCAGAACCGGCTCTTTTGTCCCCGGCAGCGCATAAGTACCCAACGCCATGGTAAGGCAAGAACCCTTACCCCTGTCCCTTAGTGCCCGGGTTGGAGTGAAGCTCCAGTTCCCTCACTGCCGCCCGAGCCCGTACCGACGCGGCTTCTGTCTTTGTGAACTGGCGTCTAACATTGCATTGAAACTCGGAAACTGTCGGACAGAGTGTCGGTCCGGCCCACTACTATACACGTGGGTGTGGAAACCTCTGGCGACGCAAATATCACAAATATTAACCATAAAAACCTACGGCATTACTACTTTTCAATCCCATGAATACCTACCATACATAAAATAAACACAATGCTCTTCTGCTCTTTCTGCAGCTGCAACCCGTGTAAGATACAACTGGACCCCGTCGTCCGTCGCCCAATCAACATTCTAATCTTCGAAAAGTTCCTGCCCTTCTTCCTTCGGGACAACCCGAGCATGCAGTGCGCCAAGGCGGGGCACGCGGCCTACGCAAACGCCGTGGTCCTTAAGGGCTCGGCCGTCGGCGCCTCGTACTTTATGACCTTCCACACCGTCCTGCGCACCTCCGAGGACTACTACCACGCTCTGGCGGCGGCGCGCGACCTGTCAGCCAACATCACGCGCACCATCAACAACGTGCTAGCCGCCGCTGGCCGCGCGCCAGAAGAACCCTACGAAGTCTTCCCGTACAGCGTGTTCTACGTCTTCTACGAACAGTACTTGACCATGTGGACCGACGCCATTTTCAGCCTGGGAATATCCTTAATGGCCGTGTTCATTGTCTCCTTCGTGCTGCTGGGCTTCGATGTAGGGTCCGCGCTCGTTATCGTGATCACTATTACGATGATAATCATTGACCTGTTGGGTATGATGTACTGGTGGGATATTTCTCTGAACGCTGTGTCGTTGGTGAACCTGGTGATGGCGGTGGGGATTTCCGTGGAGTTTTGCAGCCACACTGTGCACGCGTTTGCCAAGTCGTCGGAAACCACTCGTACTCGCCGTGCGGAAGACGCCCTCGTCAACATGGGCACGTCCGTGTTTTCGGGCATCACGCTCACCAAGTTCGTGGGGATCATTGTGTTGGCGTTCGCGCAGTCCAAAATATTTCAGGTGTTTTATTTCAGAATGTACCTGGGTATTGTTATGTTCGGAGCGGCACATGGTTTGGTATTTCTTCCCGTGTTCTTGAGCTACGTAGGTCCGACGCCCCGACCGCGGACTCCAGCTCCCAAAGACATCCTCATGCTCCCGAGCTCTGCCGACCCAAGTGCAGCGGATCCCGAGGCCAAAGAGTAAACGTGCCCCGCGATATTTGCGAATCGCGACAGAAACGGGTTAAACACTTTTCGTACAGTATTTGTAAAGAAGCGTTATCTCCGATCGTTAACAATGCTTAACGAAAGTTTTTATTGTGTTGGTGTGCCAGAAAATTTCAGTTACCTGCTACGTTAAACTATTTTAGATGAGGCGTTTCTAACGAAAAGTTAGAATTAAAAATTATTTTAAAAGACTCGGAAAATATTTTGTATAATATGTATGCAGTGTATATTTTAAAAGAGCTTCCGTGGTTCACAAAGAATTGGCTAAACAACTAATGCCACAAATTCGGACTTGTTACCTTCACGTCCTCTGGAACTCTTAGGTCCGTGGGGGGAATTTAACAGAATAATAGAACATTATGAAAATAAGGAGGCCAAATGATATCATATTCCTACTGAGGCCCACAAAACTCTGGGATTATAATTTTACGAACCAAAAGGAACATGTTGATACTTGATTCGGGGTTAAGCTTAATAAGTATGCCTTAATATATATTTTTGTAAAGCATTTGTAAAAAAACACGATGTAGAAAAACTATTTTATATACCAATACTTTCGAATTGTGATGTGTGATTTTGATTAAATGAATGAACACATGCAATTGTATAACTGACTGTACACAAGTAAATAATAAAGAATGTCAAAATTAAAATGTGAAGAGTTTAATTCCAAACCTGGTTCCTGAACTAATTTTAATACCATTAAGAATAATATTGATTTCTTTGTATTCATTCTCTTGATTTCAGATGCTTCTGATGACTAGAAACTTCTGGCATAATCTTTAAAGCACGGAAGTAGATATCGGATGTGAACAAATCCCACGTTTGGCAAATGAAATATGTGCATCAATAAAAAAATATTTTTCCCCAAAAGTGTAGCATTTAACTATACCATGTTTCAACTTATATTTTCTAAACTATATAAAACTAAGTTCCTGATTTCATGTCTTTGTTTTTCCGCCAAAAACTTGAAAACTACTTACTTTAGATTTATTTAGTCAAAAAAACTGTATGGGAAAGATCATCTTTCTTGAGTTCCAGAATCCCTTCCCATAATTTTAACTATAAATAGTTGAAAAATGAATAAAAGTTTAAAATAAATAAATAAAAATATAGTTTAAAAAAGCGCGATATTAGCAATATTTGAAAAAATAGGCATTTTCGTTCCCGAGTTAAAGAAAACTTGATCGGTAAACGAATTGCAAATATGATTTTTCTGCATTTCTAACAAAATAGTAACTCGCCCTTACCTCTACTCCTACCATTACAAGCAAAAGGGGAGGACAACAAAACGTGTGTGTGTTAAGTTATAAATATAAGTTAATCAGTGTTATAATTATCCTCGTAGACATCTGTGTTCTTTCAAAAAAGTTACCATCCTTGAGTAATTCATTTCTGACAACAAACAGTGATTGGTAAATCAAGAGGCAAGGCAATGGTAGAATATTTTTTAAAATTGGTTTGAAGGTCCTTTAATTTTTTAGTAATTCATATAATAAAATTTTATTAAATTCATACACTTATTAGACCTACGTTTCGAAGGTCATGTGTCTTCATTTTCAGGATCTAATAAATATAAGTGAATACAATATTAATGAAACAAATCTACATGCTATAAAAGATAAATTGTTTAAATTAATGTATGACATGTCTGTTTATTTGTTTAAGATAATTCTTTTATAATATATTTTTAATTTAAACGTTGTAACTAAACACCACATGAAAAACAACATTACTTAACAAAATTAGAATTTTATTAAATACGACCTTTGAAGGAATTACATAAAAAATATTTAAATTCATAATTCACCTGAATAAAATATATGCAATATTTCATGTGAGTCTGAAATCTCAACTCTTATTTTTGTATAATATTCTAGGCCTCCTATTATTTATTAAATATTCTTATATGAATGACAAGCAAAAGTGAAAGTGGTTCTTTAAAGAAGAAGGTGAAGAAAATTTGTATGTAGAATGCATGTATTACTTAAAAATATGAATACCTGGGGAAATATTAATAATATATCTAAATATTTATAGTACATATATATATATATATATATATATATATATATATATATATATATATATATATAGCTACTAAATTATATTAAATATTATTACATATATATATAATATATAATATAATATATATATATATATATATTGATGCATTCTATCTTTTTTTCTCTTTCTTGAGAAACGGCTTCTTTTAGGTGCTAGCATATCTAACAGTGTTTTAAGATGTTTGACATGTATTGTCAGCTGCATTTTTAATTGAAAAAGTTTTTTTGGCATTTTTGAGTTTTAAGGTCATTGTTGTCTCATTTTTAATTTGTTTTATATAACCAATAACGCCATGGAACAATGCAAATGAGGAAGAAGTACTTCGATATAATAATGCTCCCTGTCAATTGCTGCGTAACTGTTTCCATACAATTACAGACTGTACCGAGCATCCAAAAGGAAAATAATATTAATTTTAACAATGACCTATAATGTATTTTATACCGTTTGGATTGTGTAATTGTAAAGAACCTGTAACAAGTATTGTACTTCTGGGTTAATGAACCCCATCTCGATCAGGTTTTCGTCCAGTTTCCCTGATCCTCGAGCAAATGCTGAGATGGCCCCTTGTTTTGCTTCTGTACATAAATGTAACTTCAAATTGACTTCTGATAGCATGTCACACAGTTTTAACTGTTTTGGACGTAAATAAATAAATAAATAAATATATTTCTGTCATTGAATTCAGTGTATTAACGAACATACCCGATGTGTATGTTAGCCTTAAAATATATTAAGTAAGCAGTATGCTTACGTAGTGTATATTACGCTAATTCACAGCAGTGTACGGTTAAAAAAATAAAAGTGATCAAATAATACGATCCATCGGTGGCGGCGGTGGCGATGGCGGTTTCCGCTAGCGCGCGTTGTTGCCAGCGCAGCGTTGAAAAGCAACAATCTAAGATTCGATACATTTCATAACGCAGTAATACTGATAGCGCTGGCCCGCAAACGCAGTTTAAAAATATATAATAGAATAATTATTAAATAGTATAGTATCGAAATATTCTGCAAATCCTCTCTGCACCTCTCCACAAATGCCTTGGCACTACGACTCGACTGAACAGAGTGCGTCACTACGCGTAGTTATAGGAATCATTAATTCTCAAACTTCTACGGGGGTTGTTTTTTAACATCTGTAACTTTGTTGGTATTAATTGCGCAACGTTTCTTGAACGATGACCTTGCTTCCCCCACTGTGGCACAATAAACAGTTGAAGGCAAAAGTTCGCAACGAATACTGATGACAACATTTCAAACACATCTTCACTAGCGCGAAACAGAAACTATTTTCTCTTGAAGACAAGAAATTCTGTCCGTGATTTTATCAACAAACTAAACTAACCAACTAAAGTCATGACCGAAGCAGGTGAAGATCGGTCACAGGAGATACCTCGAACTCCTGAGAAAATTAGAATGCAAATTATTGAGAAAGTTGGGAACGCATGATTGTATATCCAGAGATTTACATTTCTTCATAAAATCTAGTGGCCGATTTCGTAACTAATACCCCCACACTATCCGTGTTTCTTCAATCCATCATTCAAAAAATTTGCGCGAGTAATATTATTTCAACGTTTTGGTTGGTTTTTTTTGGCTATGCAAACAGTATGAGGTTTCGCAATGGTTGTTAATTCCTGTTGTGAGTGCAACTCTAAAGAAAATTACCCAATGGGACCGAAGGTACAAATGTTTTTATACCAAAAGACTTTAAATATCCTGAACTACTAAGAAAATTACTTAGCACGACTATTTTCAATGCCTTTGCAATGTATTACAAATATATTATATTACAGAGTTACGTAAGATCATTTAACTTTATTAAATTTCAATATTTCATGAAGTTATAAGATAAAGTCAGTTTATAAAACACCATTCTTCACGATTACTTGAAGTGATTAGTATACAATTAATTATAGGTACTATTAGTCGAATGTTGCAGAATGTGAATGTCAATGCTTGTTAGTTTAAAAAAATACTGCAAATATAGCCCACGATAAATGTAAATTTGATTTTATACTCAATATGTATATATTCTTTGCAAGTTTATTATTTAACCCTAAAAGGGAATTAATATTTAATTTCAAAGAGGATTAAATATTTTGTTATGCGAGTATCACTAGAGTAAAGAATTAAAATATTTTTACTCTCACAGCCATTGAATTTTGAAACTATCGACGTACACAGGAGTTTTCGAAGGCTAATATAATGAGTATATATACATGTGATTGAAAAGAGATATTCAAAGTGTACAGTAACTTTATTGTTCCGATCACATGTGAGACTATTAAGTAAATGGTGCAAGCACAAGAGAATTAATACATAAAATTAAGAAACTAAAAATCCTAAAATTGATTGAAGAATAATAATGTAGAAAACTGTATCTCATTACTTGTTTTATAACAGGCAAGTGAACTGCACTTTTCTGAATGAGATATTAATGGACAATGAAAAAACCGGAAAAAATTGTCGTGATACTGAGAGAGCACGTTTGAGCAATGGAGCTTTCCCTTCATTATTACCGAACCCTAAATCTCTATGTACATTAAGTACTTCAAGATTACAATCTGAAGCTAAAATAATAAGTTTGGAGAACGACAATGTGCGACAGGGCTAGTTCATGTATGCCCGAGTATACGGGGAAAGGATTACGTTTTCTTCCTGTGATAATCTCGTGAAATGCTTAGAAAGAGAAGTTATTAGTGAGTGATAAAAAGTGTTTGTGTGATATTTGTTCTCATTGACACTGTTGTTTTCATATCGACTTATTTACTGAACGGTCACCGTTAAATTCTGATCAACCAAGAGTGAATTCACATCACCATTTTTAATAGAATAAATACACAGAATAAATAAAATTTGCACAGAATAAATAAAATTATTGTGAATTACAAACTGAAATTGTTTTTGACATAGGTTTGTAATATTTGAATTACATCTTTTTTGATCAGTTGCATTAAACATTTTAAACGAAATGACACAGAATTTACTTCATACTAAGATGTTTCATACTCCCATTTACCTCATGTTCCTACAAATTTATTTCCATGAATGAGAAGAAGAATGAAGTTTTTAGTTGAAAGAAAAATACCCAATATGTTAGTTTCAAATTATAATTTTATCAGAAAATAATGTGCGTGTTATCACAAAAAACTAGGTAAATCACAATTACACAAGTTACGACACATCTTCATCTTACTGATTGCGTGTATTGTTTCAATTTCAATATAACTAATCATTATATTCTGTTAATATTGACGTCACTAATCTTGACAATCGCAAATTTAAAACTGGTCAGGAGCAGGTCGTAGAGCCATTCTCGCTTTAGCTGCGGGCCAGTGCAGTCGCTCCGTAGCAGCAGCTGGAAGCGTTAAGTGTGAAAGTGCAACTCAATATCACTCCGAACGTTAGGAAGAGTGGCGACTTTGTGTTCGAAGTAGTGTTCAGTGGTCATAATTATTCACTCTTAGTGCTTTAATAGTTGAATGAACAACAATGATTTATCCAGCGCAGGGCGAATGGTCAGTGAAACCCTAAATTCGTTATATAATTCGGATCCCCCCCCTTCATCGCATACAGTTTTCACTATTTTTTGACTGAATAAATCTAAATCTAAAGA